GCATTTCAAAATTGCATGCTAAAGAGCTTCCTTTTGATGATATTCAGAATATCTGTGGTACAATACAGTATACAGATGAAGTGCTGTAGAATTGTGCACCTAAAACCTGTATAATTTTGTTAACCAGTGTCACTCTGATAAATTCAATAAAAAAAAGAATATCTGTGGTAAAGAAAACCCATATTCCCTTTCTCCTTTGGTAGCCTTTTAAATTATCAAAGTTCAGCTAAGGAGAAACACTAGGCCACTCCAGTTCACACTGACTGTTCTCTGTAACTTGTAGAACTTATTGTCTCATTCTTTCATTTTCAGAATTTAATGTCCAGGATTTCTATCTACCTTACTCATACTGTATGTATCCAATCCCTTCTATGAATGAGGCATTGTTTTAGGTTCTTGAGGAAGATGGAGATATGAACAAAACAGTCCCCACCACTAAAATTATTTATTACCTACTATGTACTAGGTACTTTGTTAAGCTTTGTGATACGGAGATTGGCAAAAACAGGCTTGACCCTTCTCCTCATGGAACTTATTAGTAAAAGATACAGAAACCACATATGCTGTGTTCCCCACTGTATATCACATAACACATAGTAGGTAGCCCATAAATATTTGTTGAATGAGTGAAAATAAACAGCCAAGCATACAATTGCAAGTTGTGAGAAGTTCTATGAATTAAATACAATAGGAAATAGTGATAGAATGGGGTAGAGAAAGAAATGTTGCCAGGAATACCTGAGAAAGTTGACACTCACACTAAGACCTGAAGGATGAGGAATAGCTAACCATGCCAAGACTGAAGATACGAGCATTGTAGAAGAGGAAACATTATGGATAAAGACTCCGAGGTAAGTGCTTCACACGTTTCAGTGGTAAGACCACAATCAGCAAGAGGAAAAGTGAGATATGAAGTGTTGTAATAGAAAAAGGATAAGTATTCAGGGCTCTTGTAGGATATTGTAAGGAGTATGGATTTTATCCTAAGTGCAGCAGGAAGTCATTGAAGGGCTGTAAGCAAGGAGTCACATGATCTGACTTGTATTTTTTTAAAAATCCCTCTGGCTATGTTAAGATAATTGTGGGAACAAGAATGCAAGCGAGCAAGGACACTAGTTAGGAGTTGCAATGATCTATTGGGAGATGATAGTATTTTGGACTAAGGTAGCTATGGCAAAAGTGAGTGAAGATATACTTTGGAGTTAAGAATTGACAGACTGGACAAGGAGGAGTAGAGAAGAGGAAAATCAAGGATGACTTCCAGATTTCTAGCTTATGTGACTAGCTGAGTGGAAGTGTCATTTTTTAAATGAGGCAAATTGAGCGAGGAGTGGTGGTGGGGGTCACTGTTATTTTTAACATGTTTTATTTGAAGTGCTTGTGAGACACGTAAGTGTAAATGTCAAGTAGGCAGCTGAATATGTGAATCTGGAGTTTTCTAATAGGGAAGACAGGACAAGGAGGCTTGTGATAAGAGCCTCATAAGTGACAAAACTTACATATTCAAAGAAAATGTCATGCCTGGCTGGGTTAATCAGAGAACTTTTCAGGAAAAAAAAAAGTTGACATGTGAGCCCAAATATAATAAGGGAGAACATTCCAGGCAATGGGAATGGAATAGCAAAGGTAAGGTAGAGATGGCAAAAATCTTAAGGCAGGTTCACAAACTGAAAAATGGTTCATTTTGTATGGAACATGGTTTGCTTGAAATACTGAAAGATGAGTGTAGAGAGCATGGTTGAAGCCAGATGGGAATTTGTATTGCACTTGATATGCAGCTGGGAGCACTACCAAGTCTTTGAGCTGAGGCAAAACCTGATGAGGTCATTAAAAGCTATTTTGTGATAGTGAGTAGGGTAGACTAAAGGAGTGAGAACAGGAGGCAAGGGAGGCCAGTAAAGAATCTATTTCAATGATCGAGATATGATTCTATTTAGCTTCTTGATTAAGAACCTAAATGTTGTTGGTGGAAGTGGAAAGTTAAAGGGAAAATGCCAGAAACATTTGAAAGGAGAATTATGATTATGTTAATCTAATAAGATAGGAGGAGGTTCCCACTGTTTTCTTCTGAATGTCTTTTGTCTACACTGTTTCATAAGTTCTGGTAAGCCTCAGTGACACTTTTCAATTTCTCCCCTTTTAGAAAGATTTTATTTATTTATTTTTAGAGAGAGGGGAAGGGAATGAGAAAGAGAGGGAGAGAAACATCAATGTGTGGTTGGCTCTTGTGCACCCCCTACTGGGGACCTGGACCACAACCCAGGCATGTGGCCCAACTGGGAAATGAACCCGCAACTCTTTGGTTCGCAGGCTGGTGCTCAATCCATTGAGCCACACCAGCCAGGGCTCAATTTCTCCACCATAACATTTAACATTGATTAAAGTGACCTCATTTGGTATGTTTTCATTTTAAGTGGGTAACAAAGAGGTAGCTCTGATATTGTAGTATATAGTCTCACACAGGTAACTGTTGCTGGAAAAAGCAATACGGGGCTGGGACTAGGAAATGGACTGAAAGTTAGCACTAGTACAGATGAGTTAAAATTTTTGACCTATTTAAAGCCTAATTGCCTGTACTCCTTCCTACTGTGTCCACCCATATCTCTCTCTCTTCTCTCGTTCTCTTTTACACACACAAACACACACACTGAATTTTCAATTCTCTGAATTTTTCCTATACTACCCTCTCATCCATTGTCTATATCCGTGCAAATCCCCACCTTCTCACAGCCCTCATCTTAAAACATGTATCACTGATAGAATGGCTGAATGTGCTCTCCTCTGTCTCTGGGTTATATTTAGAAAACTGGGCCCTCAACATCATAGTTCAAATGTCTGACATGAGAAATAATCATGTGACAGCTGGAGCTGCAATGAGGTAAAGGTAAGGGGGCAGGGGATATTTTTAAGTACTCATTCTAATGGTCAAAGGTGGCTCTGGCCTCCCATTATTCCTTGCAGTTGCACTGGGATATCCATGATGAGCCTCCTTTCAAAGGAGATAAAATAAGTTTGGGAAAATCTTCTGAAGTAACTGCAGAAGAAAAACAGAACAAATATCCAAAACATTCCTCTATACTAGCTAATCCTTTTGTGATTGCTTTATCCTACCTCCATTTTATTATTTCTCTTTTGCTTTATACTTTTCACTGTTGCCATGTTTTTTGTGTGTTCAATGTTCAATGTCTTTTGAAGAATACCTTGAACTCTTTGGATAAAATGTGCTATATAAATACAATAAAGCAATAAATAAACAAAATGTCTACTTTTATAAGAGTGTAAGTTTTACTATTTCTGATACTATGAGATCTACCCCTCACTCAGCACTAGCCTGAAGAGTAGGTAGGTGGTGTATTGTGAGGAATATCAAATAGATTTCTCTACTCTAAAATAGCTTCCCCAATGCCTGAAATCCCAGTTTGGTGATATATATTTTTTTAAAATTTGGACTTGAAGATTTTTTTTCCCCAAGAATTCCTTATTCAAATACAAACACCACAGAGGGAGGTGGATAGGTGGGTCATGATTTAACCTTAGTTCTCTTTACATTAACCCATCATTCTCACTAAACACATTTTTCACATTCCAGCTTTTTCCATGCCTTTGTGCTATTCTTCCAGAAGTAATGCAAAAATAACAAATTATAAATATAAAATCAACTTATAGTTTCACACAGTCTCTCATTTGATATCTAAATCCAAGCTTACTCATTCTTTTAAAAATTATTTATTTTTTCCAATGTAAGAAGAATAACAGGTTTATTATAGAAAATTTGAAAAAGGCAGGAAGATAGCAAGAAGAAAAAATAATATCAACCATAGTCCTACCACCTCAAGAACAACTGTTAAGTGTGGTCATGCTTGTTCTTTAAACAAACCTTAGTTTAGGTCCCATTTCTGATGTGATGCCTTCCTTGAACTTCCTCCTCTAGACCTTCCCTACCATGCTTATACTACTCTCTTATACAAGTTAATTTGACATGTGTCTTGTTTCCAACTAGATTCTTAGATCCTTGAAGGCTGAATCCATGAGTTATACTTCTTAATTTATCCCAAAACACCTAATATTGGGTTGGCCAAAAAGTTCACTTAGTTTTTTTTCTGTAAAATAACAGATATATTTTTCATTTTCACGAATAACTTTATTGGGTACTTTGAGTATGTAGGCTATCTCCTCCATGGCATAATGTTGATTGTTCTCAGTTAATGTCTTGATTTGATGACTATCAACTTCTACTAGTCTACCCAAACATGGAGCATCATCCAGCAAGAAATATCCAGCACAAAACTTCGCAAACCACTTCTGACATCTTCAATCAGTCATAGCATCTTCATCTTCTCCATATACTGCACCTACTTTTTTTGCATTTCAGTTGTTACCTTTCTTGAAATAATAAAGCATGATATGCCAAAAATGTCTATTTTCTTCCATCTTCAATATTAAAATGGTTACACAAAAATTCACCAATTTTGGTAAGTTTTTTTTTAAATGAATGATGATATGACAGCTGTCACAATACAATCTAACAAAATTGCTTTAAATGAAGTTAAAGTCAATTAACACTACTAGAGCCATCTTACGGGGAAAAAAAATACAACAAATGTTTTGGCCAACCCAATACTTTGGACCCAATATTTGTTGACTGGTTTAACCTAAACGAATAAAAACCATTTCAGAAAGGATATAAAATAGACCAAGTATCTAAGTTATGAAAGCTAAAGCTTTCAGGTCACCTGGCTTGGTGACTATTGCTTTTCTGTTGCTGGAACTCTTGAAAGCCTATTGAACTAGTCTCTTTCCTCACACCAAACTGAATAAGACGCAGACTGATTAAGAGCCAGAATTTACTCAAAGATTCTCTATATAAGCATAAAGGTGAGAGAGAGCATGAGAAAAGTAGGAGGAAGGAAAGGAGAGAGAAGAGAAAAGAGGAGAGGAGAGAAGGGGAGAAAAGAGAAAGGGAGATAAGAGAAGGGTAGATAGAGTATATAGTCTAGTGCTCAATCCAGTATGTGATTTGCCTCCAGCACCGTATACAGGATCCCATCCACTTGTTCTGAGTCAAACCCGATCTCACGAAGCTCCAAATGAGGGAGGACAGAAGTAAGGAGATAGCTGACGTGGATACGCAGCCGCGTAAGCTTTGCCAAAGCCCTGTATGATGGAGTGAGGGGGCAGGAGAAGAGATGACATGAAGTCATTAGCCAACAGAACAAAATGAAGCTCCTTAAAAAAGGGCCTACATTTCTCAACAATTATGTTTCCATTAGCTACAAAGAAAGAAGAAAGTACAATGCCACCAAGCACAGGGAGACTGGCTGCAGCTCTCTAAGAAGTAATTCCTCAGTTCTTGGTGACTTATGAATTGATTCAGACTTCCTCCCTTATCTATGACCAGTAACTGGGGTCCTAAGAGATGTTTCCCATTAGCACTCACAAGCTGATTAACTAAACCCTAGTAATTAACCTTTCTAGGTCATCTCCCTCTGGGGTCCGGTAGGAGACCTGAGCCTTCTGCAGCACTTCCAGGTGCATCTCTGTCTCCCTTAGTTTCTCTTTTAGTTCTTGCTTTTCCTCTTTGGTTCTTTCCAGCTCAGCTTTCAGGATCTGGAATTCAGCTTGGCGATAGCCCATGTGTTTCTTGCTCCAATACAAGCCTTCTGTTTCCTGTGTACTGTAGGTCACCAATTCATGTTGGACTTTCTTGAATTCAGAATGCCAGTGATTCCTCTCCTGTTCCAGCTCCTCCACCTGCATTCCAAGAAACAAAAATTCAATGACTCTACATGCTATGAAAGTGGCAAAAATTATCACTAATATATTCACTCGGTGATTCCTCTGCACATATTCCTCTATTTATAGACTTTTTCAATCCCAAAATATGGAAGGGAAGCCCATGAGGATTCACCCAATGCGAAACATACCACAGACTGATTCAGAGGCTTATCTCATTTAAAGATCTCAGAATGTGAAACCATCAGAGCTCTAAGTCTCTAGTACCTTGGTTATAATGATCTCTTATTTCTACTGTTAAGGTGCTGCCCTAACCTTTTGCTGGAACAAATTCCTTTCAGCCAGAACATGTTCCAATTTTTCTGTTGTTCTTTTGAGTTCTTCCAGCTGTCTTTGGTTCTTCATCTTTGGCACATGGCAACTTCCACTCTCCTCATAGCCTCTTCCTTTCTCCGCAGGGGTTATAGCAGGGGTTGTAGAAGAGGCCACAGAGGGATAAGGCACTGGGTTCCAGGATTCCACTGCTTTTCTTTTCTCAGCAAGCTCCTCTCGGTTAAAAGGGATCAGCTGAATGGGAGCTCCTGAATCTCGAACACCTTTTGCAACACCAACAACAGCTACAAAAAGTCCCTTGTTTACATCTTCCTTGCTTATATTTGTGCCGCCTCTGTTAGAGTCTTCTGCTACCAATCTTGGCATCTGATCTTCTAATTCTTCAGGGAGCAGGGACCCCTGGTGTTGTTCTTGGGCCTCTGAATACAAAACCGAAACCTCCCTACTTTGACTGGTATTCTTGTTTGCTTCTGGGTATTCTGGAGAAAGGTATGGTGGTGTGCTTCTCTCGGAACTGGATTTATCATGGTTGTGCTCCCCTTCTGGGTAAGCAACAGCAGCCTCTACTCTCCTGTAAGAGCCAGGCATGGAATAATCTAGAGGTGTCATCTCATTCTGGAGCCTTCTTTGTTTCTCCACAGGTTCATCACCTAGGATCCATTTATACTTACTGTAAGAAGAAGAGGAAATTAAATTTTAAGTTGTCAAAATATAGACCACCTATATTCTTATCCTATAGAGCCCCTCTTCAGATTTCCCATACTAAAACTGACTCTAGCTGTTATCCACAGCTCAATTCAGGTTAAGAATACTTTACCCCCACACCCCTACTTTTTCACTTATGCATTTTGCTGAGATAGCAACTGGTCTTAAGGGAGAAATGAAATAAAAATGTATGAATAATCAGCATCTGGATATAACAGGACCAGATTGACCTTGGTATGAATTCTGAAAATAGGATTGAAACCAGCCTGACTAAGAAGTTTCAGAAATGCAAGTCAAGGAAGAAAAACAAACAAAGAAAAATACACATGCAAAATCCACTATGAGAATGGGGGAAAAAACGGTCATAAAAAGCCTAGTGGAGTATGTGGAAGAGAACTGAGCCAGCTCGTTAATTTTGAAGTGTCACTAAAACCTTCCAGTATCAAAGAGTTATGCATTTTTTTCTATGCTGCAGTAATACCATACAATTTTTTTACCAGTCAACTAGATTGTGGCTATTGCCAATTATTGACTTGTAAAAGATAATTAAAACACAGAGCTCTTGTCATAAACAAAGAAACTGAAACAGCCAATTCAAGTCATTTTCACCTATGGCAAAAAAATCTTCCCTCTATTGGGATAAATAGGCACTCCCTCAGTTTTTAAGGAAAGTCCAGGATACTGATCTAAATCACGTTCAGTCTCTGGCTGCTATATGCACTAAAGTTTGAAGGAACAAACAAAACAACTGTCACCAGTCAAATCTATAGGTAATTTTTTAATCATGCAGTAGGATGGGACCCTCATTTTTATCCTTATAACTATTCTTGTAGTCTCTGCAGAAACCCAAGAAATTTCAAGGTAAAGTTTGACTTCCAAATATTCTTAAGGTTATTAATTTAAGATCTTTCTTCAATTTTAATATAAGCCTCTACAAATATAATTCTCCATCTGAGTATTTCTTTAACTTCATCCAATAAGTTTTGGAATATTTTGTTTTCATTTTCATTTTTAATGATATTTTCAAATTTCCCTTGTGTTTTCATCTTTTACTTACTTGTTCTTTTGGAGTGTGTGGTTTAATTTCTACATATTTGTGAATTTTCAAATTTTCTTCTGTTGTTGATTTCTAATTTAATTCCATTACATTTGGAGCACATCCTTTGCATAATATCAATCAACACTTTCAAATTTATTTAGGCTTGTTTTATGGTACAACACATATGCTCTATCCTGGAGAATATTCCATGAGCAGTTGAAAAGAATATATATCATACTGCTTGAGGGTGATGTATCCTGTATATGTCACCTTCATTTTCTGGAGATACTTTTATAAGATTTAAGATTCTTGGTTGAAATCAATAAATGTAATGTAATACACTATATAAACAAAATTAAGGATAAAAAAGTTAAATCACATGATCATATCAATAGATGCAGAAAAAGCATGATAAAATCCAGCACCCATTTATGATAAAAATGCTCAGCAAAGTGTGAAGAGAGGGAACATACCTAAACGCAATAAAGGCTGTAAATGACAAACCTACTGCCAGCATCATACTCAACAGGCAAAAACTACAAGCGTTCCACTTAAGATCAGGAACAAGACAGGGGACATGTCTGCTTTCACCCCTCTTACTCAACATTGTACTGGAAGTCATAACCACAGTAATCAGACAAGAAGAAGAAATAACAGGCATCCAAATTGAAAAGGAAGAAGTAAAACTATCATTACTTGCAGATGACATGATACTGTGCATAGAGAACCCTAAATATTCTACCATTATCAACTAGAACTGATAAATGAATTCAGCAAAGTACCAGGATACAAAAGGAATGCCCAGAAACCAGTTGCATTTTTATATGCCAATAAGGAACTATCAGAAAGGGAAATTAAGAAAACAATCCCATTCACAACTGTTTCAAAAAGAATAAAATACCTAGTAGTAAATCTAACCAAGGATGTAAAAGACCTGTACTCAGAAAATTATAAGACACTGAAGAAAGAAATTGAAGAGGATACAAATAAATGGAAGCACATATGGTGTTATTGGATAGGAAGAATTAACATCATCAAAATGTTCATACTACCCAAAGCAACCTATAGATTCAACACAATTCCTATCAAGATTCCAATGATGTATTTCACAGAAGTAGAACAAATATTTCAAAATTCTATATGGAACCAAAAAAGGCCCCAAATAGTAATAGAAATTTTAAGAAAGAAGAAAGTTGGAGGAATCACACTACCTAGTATCACGCTATACTATAAAATCATAGTAATCAAAACACCATGGTACTGGCATAAAAACAGACATATAGTTCAATGGAACAGAATAGAAAGCCCAGAAATAAACCCATACCTTTATAGTCAATTAATATTTGACAGAGGAAACAAGCGCAAATAATGGGCTAAAGAAAGTTTATTCAATAAAAGTTCTTGGGAAAATTGGACAGATACATGCAGGGAAGAAAAAAACTGAACAATTTTCTTAAACCACACACAAGAATAAACTCACAAAGGATTGAAGACTTAAATGTCAGACCCAAAATCCTAGAAGAAAACATAGGCAGTAAAATCTCAGATATTGCTCATAGCAATATTTTTTCTGATATATCACCTCAGGCAAGGGAAACAAAAGAAAAAAAAATAAACAAATGGGACTACATCAAAGTAAAGTTTTTGCACAGCAAAGGAAAACGTCAACAAAATAAAAAGGCAACTCATGGAATGGGACAACATACTTGCCAACACATCTGTAAAGGGTTTAATATCCATAATTTATAAGGTACTTAAAAAACACAACACCCAAAAAACAAATGATCCAATTAAAAAAGGGGCAAAGGACCTGAATAGACACTTCTCCAAAGGGGACATACAGGTGGCTGATAGACATATGAAAAGACGCTCAATACCACTAATCATCAGAGAAATGGAACTTAAAACCAAAATGAGATATCACCTGACACCAGTCAAAATGACTATCATCAATAAATCAACAAACAGTAAGTGCTGCTCAGGATGTGGAGAAAGGGGAACCATTTTTCTCTGTTGGTAGGAATGAAGTCACTGTGGAAAATGGTATGGAGTTAGTTCAAAATATTAAAAATGGAACTGGTTTATGAATCTGCAATTCTACTTCCTGGAACTTATCTGAAGATATCTGAAACATTATTTAGAAGGAATACAAGCAGCCCTATATTCATTGCCGCATTATTTACAATAGCTAAGATTTGGAAATAGCCCAAATATCCATCAGTAGATGAGTGGATTAAACAACTATGGTACATTTACACAATGGACTATTACTCGGCTATGAAAAAGAAGAAAAATTTACCCTTTGAGACACCATGGATGGATCTGGAGAACATTATGCTAAGTGATATAAGCCAGTCAGAGAAAGACAAATACTGTAGGATTTCACTTGAATGTGGAATCTAATAAACAAACTGAACTAATAAGCAAAATAGAGGCACACTCCTAGATGGAGAGCAGGCTGAGAGCTTTGGACAGGGAGGTTAAGGGATGGAGGGGTCAAGCAAAAAAGAGAAAGGACTCATGGACAAGGACAATAGTGAGGTGATTGTGTGGGTGAAGAGGGGCATAAAGGGGATAAATGGTAATGGAAATCATTCAGTAAAAATAAATACAAATTAATAAAAAAGATACTTGGTTGACAATCTATCAGTACACTGAATGTCATCTTACTGCTTTCTGCTCCTCATTGTTTCTGATGAGAAGTCTGGTATAATTCTTAGTAGGATTCTCTTGTATATAATGAGTATCTTTTTCTCTCTGCTTTTAAGATTTTCTCTTTCCCTTCAGCCTTCAATATTTTATCATTTAACTTTTTAAAAAATTTATTGAAATTATTTTTAATTTTTAATTACAGTTGATATACATATTAGTTTCATGTATACACTCCAGTGATTAGACATTATATAATTTCCTAAATCATCATACTGATATATCTTCTACCCATCTGAAATCAAAAGTATATCTTAGAATATTATTGATTATATTCCCTATGATGCATTTTACATCCCAATGACTACCAATGTAACAACCAATTTGTACTTTTTATTATTATTCAAATAAATTTGTCTCCACTTTCCCGTCATCACTTTCCCCTGCCCCACCCAAACCCACCTCCCAACCTCAACCCTTCCCCACTTTTGCTTTGTCCTTGGATCCTTTAAACATATTCTTTGATTTGAACATTCCCCTTCTTTTCTTGATAACCTAAACTCCATCTTTCTCTCTTGTTACTGTAGGTTTGTTTTTCCTCTCAATGTTGCTAGTTATATTTTACTTGATCATTTGTTTTGTTGATTAGGTTCCACTTATAGGTGAGATCATATGGCATTTGTCTTTTACCCCCTGATTTACTTCACTTAGCATAATGCTCTCCAGTTCCATCCATTCTGTCACGAAGGGTAGTAGCTTCTTCTCTCTGCTGCATAGTATTTCATTGTGTATATGTACCATATTTTTGTGATCCACTCTTTTATTGATGGGCACTTAGGTTGCTTCCAGCACTTGGCTATTGTAAATTGTGCTGCTATGAACATTGGGGTGCATAGGTTCTATTGAATTGGTGTTTTAGGATTCTTAGGGTATAGTCCCAGCAGTGGAAATGCTGGGTCAAAAGGCAGTTCAATTGTTACCTTTTTAAGGAAATTCCAAACTGTTTTCACAGTGGCTGCAGCAGTCTGCATTCCCACTAACAGTGTACTAGGGTTCCACTTTATCCACAGCCTCATTAGCCCTTGTTGTTTGTTGGTTTGTTTATGATGACCATTCTGACCAGTGTGAAGTGGTATTTCATTGTGGTTTTAATTTGCATTTCTCTGATGGCTAGTGATGATTAGCAACCTTTCAAATGTCCCTGAGCCCTGTGTAAGTCCTCCTTGGAGAAGTGTCTATTCACGTCCCTTGCCCATCATTTATTTGGATTATTTGTC